GCCTGCAGGCTGCTTTGAAAGCAGCCGGGATACAGGAGCGGCAAATAGTCCAGGGAAGGCGGCCCTGAGGAGGCGACGTTTCTAAGATGAGACCTGAACAGCCAGGCAGTGGAGACCAAATTAGTCTTCCAGGTGGGGGGGCAGCAAGGACAACAGCCTGCAGCCAGAGAGAGTGACATGCGTCCCAGGACCCCCAGCAGAAGGGGTGGGGAGCTTCCTAAGAGCGCTGCGGGGGCAGCTGGACCTGTCATCAGGTGAATTTACAACCCGTTTCTATATCAGCCAGGAAGAACATGGGAAGCCTGCTGCCCTAGCAGAATTAACTCGAGGTTTGAATGTCTGGAACATTCCGGAGAAAAAAACAGAACTGACTCCGTTTGCCTCAATTCTCAGGCACGACAGACTTTCCTCGGCCCTCAGGCCACTTGACCTGAAATGGGTGAGTGAACTGTTATCACCCTCATAGGTCAAAAGTGGGGGCCTGGTCCTTCCAGACCATGAACATCTGCTCCCCAAATGCCCAGCACTCCCAGCCCACAGACTAGAGCTGGCTTCAATTGTGTCCGCTGCTCAGCTGTCCTGGAGAGGTCTTTGACAAGCACTGATTATTCTTATTACAGGGAACAGATAATGATGCTCAGGCAGAAACACCCACCAGGGGCCAGCAGGCAATCAGCGTGAAGCGTGCAGAGCATCATTGAAGGGTCATCTTGACTTGATTTAAAATGTTGATATTTTGTGCACCTGGAATTTTTTTAATTAGCTTTTTTTTTTTTTTCCCTTAGCTGAGTCATCCTGCCACCTGTTGGCAGCTCAGCGGCGGCAGCTCAGCTCGGGCTGGGACTCAAACTGCTGTTGCTCAGAGCTTGCACTCTAAAATTAGCTTTGACTTTTAAAATATTGCAGTCAAATAGTATTTGTCTGCAAGTTTGGGATGATCCCCTTAAATTGGGCACTCTAGGCGCGCGCCTCACTCGCCTGCCCATAATCCTGGCTAGCTTCCGCCCTTCACACTTATCAGGACTGACTTCATGACGATGCCCACTTAGGTTCTGCAAGCTTCTCTGTACCCACTCTCAACTTCCCTGTGTGGCATAACATTGGAGATGGGTATAAAGCCAGCGGCAGGAAAAACATGACCACGCTACAAATGTCAAACGCCCAGTTAGAGGCCCCCATACGTGACCCCAGGGGCCATGACCTCTGACCTATGCAGTTCCACTGCCAGGCCGGGGGTTGCCCAGGGACTGAAAGCCTGTACTGTAAAAAAAGCTTGTTTCTCACAGTGCCAGATGGTCTGCAAATGTCAAAGGGGAGGGAGGAAAGGCTGACATTTCCAGAAGTGAGCTTGAGCCTGGGGCTAGGAGTGGGTGGGCGGCCCTCTCAGCAGACTCAGGAGGTAGGGGGGCTTGAACCTCTGCAGTGTGAGACCAGGGGAGAAGGATGGGGGAGGATCTCTGAAGACCTGCGTGCCTGCTCTGGGCCAGGCACTGCAGCCCAGGCTGAGACCCCGGTGTGGCCCTAAGGGATTTGGGCTTTATCTGCCAGGGGAATGGGGACCCACAGAGGCTTTGAAGCAGGTTTTAGGAATGACCCGATCCAAATTGCTTCCAAAGTTGGGTTAAAGAGAGGAGAGAAGTTGGGCAGAGAAAGTAGATATTTAATAGAACAGAAGTATTAGGGTACCCGACAAAGGGTCCTGAAGTGTGTGTCCCATGCTGGAGAGAAGGGGAGACCCACCACCACCACACACCCTGCGAAGGGAGCTGTTTACCCAGGAGCTGTGATGTCCCCTGCTTTTAGAAGCACGTGATGAGCAAGAAGGAAAAGTGACCTCGGATGATCTCGAACTCCAGGGGGGCTCACCCAGCACCCCAGCAGCCTCAGGGGGCTCTCCCAGTCTGCTTTCTGAGGGGGAGCTTAACGCGGAGACTGAAAGTGAAGGGCACTGGGAGAAAAAGGCTTTTTCATCGAGAGCGTTAGCCACTTGTTCCAAACAGCAACGGAGGAGAGGTTCACGAAACAGGGCTGTGCCGCTGACAAAGGCCTCTGCACACCCATTGTCTCCCACTTGAGCCCCGCAAACTACCCCGACACGCAACATGGATGTGCGTTCCCTCCAGTTTAAAATAAAGCAGATCAAGCATGGAGGCTCAGAGAACGTAAATGTTTTGTCTAAACTCACACCGCAGGGCCTAGCCTTAAAACCCTCATCCGGGTCCTTTTTTGGAGACCAGTCAGGGGTCTCTGCAAGGAGGGGCTGACTCTTCCCATGGGTCAAGGTCAAAATCCACCAAAAAGCTCTCCCCCCAGCGAGAATACGAGGCCTGTGGACACATCAGATCTGCTCTATTTCAGGAGCTGTGAGCGTCTCTCTTCCATCAAATTCAAGATGGGGGGCTCTGCCGGCAGAAGTGGGGTGTGCCCCATGGGTTCGGGTTCTCCTCACTGCTGTGAACACCACCCAGCCCACGGGGGGAGCTCCCAGGGGTCTTGCCGACGGCATGCTCGGGCTGCCTGGGCTCCGATCCCGGTGCCAATGCTCTCAGCTGTGTGATTTGGACCATCTGCAAACCCTCTCTGTGCCTAAGCGTTCCCATCCATAAAGTGGCGATAATAATGAAGGGATTAAGCAGAGATTAAATATGCGGGGATTAAATGTAGCTAGCATGTGGTTCCAGGCATGCCGGGCTCAGGCAGAGACTTTGGCAAGAGACCGGAGAAAATTCTCCAGGGTTTGCCCGTCCCTGCCCTTCATCACTGCCTCACTTGCCTCTCGTCATGACAGTGACCGAGGTAACCAATATATTACTATGTGTGTGTCATCTTTTATTTAAGAAGAGGAGAAGGGGTGACATGGGCCTAAATCCTTATTTTTCATATGGAGAGCCCAGAGATAGCGCCTACCTTTAGGAGATTCAAGGAATCACAGTCATTGGACATTATTTAGCATTTGAAAGTAGCCACCAGGACTTAAAGTGGGGTTCACAGAGGCAGAGGGGGAGACAGCTCCTTTTTCATCACAGGCTCTTGACAGCTCCGCTTTGATTTGTTCACAAACGCATGTGACCCAGAGAAATCGGTTTCAAGTTAAAAGCCCAGTGCCGGAAAAACCATGACATTGGGCTGTGTGTCCTCTGCAGGCCCGGCCCTGGGGCCTGGCCAGTGGGTGCCCTCCTGCCTGTATTTTCCCAGTCCCCTGTGCGAGCCACAGACGGCGCTGGGACATATCTTCAACAGTGACTCACCTCTTCATTTTTAGCCGCGTCCTCTCTGAGCCTGCAGCTCTAGCTTGGTCTTGGCTGGGCAGCTGTCTGTCTGGGGTCAGGACCTGCCCTCTGGCCTCACCACCGCCGGAGTCCGTGCACAGAGGGCAGGGCTGGTGTGGGCTCCTAAGAGGAAAGTGGGGACAACGTGGAGCCACGGTGCATTGGACCCAGGGGTGTGTGTTGTGCTGACATCTGAATGAGCATGTCTGGAACAGCCTCAGGATTCCCAAGGCTTTGAGCAAAACAACGAAAACTGCTTTCGGGCCGACTTCCTGGCCTGGAATTCCTGGGGTCTTACCCTTCCTCCAGAACGGGCTTCACTGCATCAGCTCACAGCCACACACCAAGGCGTCCACAGCCACGTTCACAGCTGAAAGGGTTTTCGGGCCGTTAACTTGCTGGTTCACACCTTCGGGGTTTAAGGAGCTTTTAGCTGAAAAGGCCTTTTTCTGCCAGCTTCTCCCAAGCCTGAGTAAACAACAAAACTTATTTATGTCCTCAGAGCACTCAATTAAGGCAGGGCAGGGATAAAATCAGTGACAGGGTGGAGTCAAAACACAGCCCGTAAAAGTCAGGAGAGGGCCGCCCCAGGCCAGCTGCCTGCTCTTGCAGAAGCCGGGGACCACCCCCCAACCCCAATTTCTGTTTTGTAAAGTTGAAAGAATAATCTAATGAAAACCCAAACACCCTTCACCTCCATTACAGCAATTGTTAACATGTGGTCACATCTAGCCTCTCAATCTATCTCCCCCAGCTGTGTGTATGTGTGTGTGTGAGTGTAACATTTATTGTGTTGTCTGTTTTGCTGACTTCATGACCCTTAACCCCCAGTGGCTTCCACGGCATCTCTAGGAACAAAGACGATAGCCTCTATAACCACAATGGTGTGACCGCACCAACGAATTGAACATGGGCGCAACGATATTACAGAACCTATATTTCATAGCAAAATCCCCCAGTTACCCAAAAATGTCCTTGAAAGCTGCTTTCTCTTCCAATCCGGGACCCAAGCACGTGCCGCACTTCGTTGTCATTATTAGGAGAAAACTCTCCGTGGGTTTTGTGTTGCATCTTACAGGCAGAGACTGCCCTCTGCCTTGACTGTCATTTCAAGGGCGTCTGTATAGAGAACAGCTTTGAAAGGTTGAGAGCGTGTCTCCCTCCAAAGGAGAAGGCAGGCATGCTTACCTTCCAGTATAAAAAAAGACGATGTCCTTCTGGGGAAAAGATCAGGCGGGCTTACTGCCCATGATAAAAAGATGTGGGTTCCCTAAACTCTGGGTTCCTCTCCTGTAATGCAAGTCACTGCATGGGCAGGTGTCACCTGTGGGAACCAGGGCTGGGGAAAACGGTGTGAGAAAACGCTGGCTGCTGGTGTGACTGTGAGCAATAACACCCTTTGGCCTCGCCCCAGGGGTCTCGTGTCTTTGCCAGCGTCCAGACGACTGTGGCAGGCTGGCTTCTTAGCTGGCCAGGGTGGGGTGAAATCTCAGACCCTTCACAGTCTTTGATGGTCGTTTTCAGACAAAGGTTTGAGTCACTTCACACCCTCCACACTCATTTCTTTTTTTGTCACCTTTATTCTAGAATCGTCCCATGCCTTTCTTTGTCTTTCTGGACATCGATGGGTTTAAAGAGTTCATGCCAGTAGCTCTGTAGAGAGTCCCACAGTCTATTTGTCTGGTTGCTTCCATTTGATCTGACGTCAGATGAATGTTCTCGCGAGGATTTCACAGGGTCAGTGTCGTGGCACTGACAGCTGGACGCACAGACGTCAGCTTCTCTCATTGTTGGTCATGCTAACGTCTCGTCACTTGGCCGAGGGGGTGTCCACTACATTTCTTCACTGTAAAGGTATCTTTGCCTGAGTAATTCATCAGGAATCTGTGGGGAGGTATTTTGAGACTGCGGGAATATCCTGTTCCTGACCAGCCTTAACCTCTACAAATCCTGGTCAATTCATCTGCGAAGGGCTTTGTGCTAGCTGACAGCCCCTGATACTGTGACAATTATGTCTTCCCCCCGGCCATGGGGATCACCCGCCCTGCAGAGCCTGACATGTTTTCCATCTGGCCTTTTGTATAAAAAGTTTGCCGACCTCGGCAATAGTGGGTGGTGCGTGACGACGGAGATAAGGTGAAGCTATGAGTTACATTCAGTATAGCTCCTTTAATGCATTCATCTGTCTCCACCACTCTCTTTACCATTTTTCAATTTTTTTAGGGGTTCGTGGTTGTTTAGCTGTCAAGCTGCACTTTAGGCCCTGACACACGCGGAACCGGGGCCCACCATCCCAGACGAAAAGCTGTAGAAGCCATGTCTTCCTCTTGCCTTGCGCTGGGTGACCCCATGCAAAGCAAAGCATCCTGGGGTCTTCCAAATGCGGCACTCCATCCAAACTGGTTTCTAGTTCTCTTCTCTGACTAGAAGCCGTGACGTCAAATAAAATGATGCGTATGTCTGCCCGAATCCGTAACGCCAAAATAACCACTTTTTGATTTAGAGGGTTTGGAGGATGAAAAACTTGTCATACCAGAAAAAAAGGAGTCCTCCCAAAAAAAAACCGCTATGGCTTTCCAAGAGTTATTATGGCAGATACTCATTAACCAAGCAGCCATGTTCAGCCACATTTGAATAGACGCAGACAGGACATCTGTGCCCGTGACATATAAGAGCAAGTCCAGCCGGGTTAGAGCTAGGGTAGGTGGGAGGTGGGCAAAGGAGAGAGTAGTTGTCCCCACTCCTGCCAAACTCAGAGCCAGTTCTCTGTGCCTCAGAGAGACCGACGGAGGGAGCACAGCTCCTGGGGCCAGCAGCTCCCCAGCAAGTGCCTCGGGGTGAGCACACGCAGAGGAGGGCAAGTGAATACCATTTCTATTCATTCCTTGAGGAGGACACAAGTCTGGGCAGATATTCTAGTTGTGTGGTTTCTAGCTCAAAGTGAAGACAAGGGACATTGAATCGGAGCAAATAAAAAGCTGCGGGCTCCTGGCGCGGTGCCCGGGGCTCCGGCCAAGTTCGGGGTGTGGGGGGGGCAGTCTGGGTACCAGGCATGGCTGTGGGGGAGGGGCAAAGTCTCCGTGGTGCTCCCCTGCAGTCCCGGGGTGCCGAGGAAAGGGGAGATGGGCTTCTCGTCCACCATCCCTTCAAGCAGCAGTTATTGATTGAGCACCTACTGTATGGCAGGCACTGGGGACAGAGCCATGGGCAGGTCACACTTTGTTCCCATTCTTGTGGAAGTTACAGTCTGGTGTGGGGAGAAAAAAAATAAACAAGATAATTTCAGAGGGTTAATACTATACAAATAAAATGGGGTGATGAGCTAGAGAATCACCAGGATGCAGCTGCTTCAGATGGGGGTGGAGGGCTCAAGGAAGCTCCGCAGGGGCGACTTTTGAGTGGTGAAAAGGGGTTCCGAGAAGAGCCCGAGGAAGGGCGCTTCTGGCAGAGGACACTGGTGGTGCAAAGGCCGTGGGGCTGCCACGAACTCGAGATGGTCTTTATTAAAGGGAAGCAAGTGAAGAGAGAAGAATGGGGGGAAATAAACAGAGAAAGGGAGGCAAGAAAAGGATATAAAAGGGAAAAAGGGAAAGAGGCCCATTGTGAGGACTGGAGGAAAAGGGAAGGACAGTTCATCAGGGTGGGGATGGGGGGGGCAGGGAGGAAGCCCCTATAAGAAAAGATTGACGTGTCATTTGCACATGTCAAAGGGTGAAGGGAGGGGGTACGTGCAGAGCAGCCCACGTCGCCTCTGCTCCTGAATGGTTCCTACTTGTCTGCACATGTGTGGACCTGGCGTTTTTGCTAGCTTTGTGTGTGTTTAGTTCTTACTTCCCCAGTCGGAGTACAACCGTCTCAAAGGCAAAGAGCATACCTTATACGTTTTTCTCTTTCTGCACAGCAACTTCCACAATGCTCTGTACACGGTGGGCTCATCAACTATTGTCTGACCAAACGGATGGGTGGATGGATGGATTCTCAAACTGGAACGTGTCTCTCTGCAGTTAGCCATGTAGTTTCTGTTTAGCTCAGGTTGGGTAAATATTTCGCGTGCACACGTAACGCCCACGTGGAGCACAAAAGTGAACGTGCCTGCTCACTTTACTTAGCGGACACTTGTGACACCCAGGCTTTTTCTAAAGCCAGGATCCGCAAGTCGGCAAACTGACCCTACGAGGTTGGTAAGAGGCAAGGGTTGCCTGCGATGCAGGGGACATGTGCTTCAGCTAGACACACCGCGCAGAGATGAACAAAACAGGGAGGTGGCACCAAAGAGAGGCGGAGAAGAGTAGGCAGCATGGGAAGCCTGCTAACGGATGCTCCTGGTTTTCTGTCTCCTGCTGCCGGAGGACAATGCTCTGGTACATTCCCCAGGCTTCCGGGCAGTTAGGTGTGGCCACGTGCTTGAGTTCTGAGCCCTGGGATGTGGGTGGGATGAACGTGCACGACCTCTAGAACTTCTCCTGCCACAGGCTCCAGCCACAGGCTGAACGGCGAGGACTCCCAGGACATAGAGGAGGGTGGAGCCACAGGATGGAGGAGGGAGCCTTGGCGGCTGGGTGGCTCTGCGGAGGAGAGCCTGCTGGCTACCAGCTGTTCCGCAGAGAGTTGGGGCTTGTTTGTTACCACCGCCAGTGCTTCTTATCCTGACCAACACAGAGATGAGGAAGGTGAGAAGATTCCAGAAGAAGGAGATCTTAACTCCGTGGCGTATAGACGACGACTGCTGGGACACAGGGCAGGGGCATGAAATAATTCTCCCTGTGACACCAGTGTGGCAGACAAACCCAGGGCGGGGAGAACGTGTAAGAGATACCAGAACAAGGGCCCCTGAGGTGAGGCTACTTGAAGTGGGGTCAGAAATTCCATATGTTAAAAAGAAAGAAAAGTTGGATTAGAATTTCATCTTGAAAATCAAAAGTGGTAAACATTTTCAATACGCTAATTTCCTCTTAGTTTACCCAAGTGTGGTAACTCTGCTCTAATTCTTTAGAGCAGACAAACGATAAAGAATGATTTTTTTTTCTTTTACTTTCCGTTTGATTTTTTTTCCCTCGTTTTGAAGCTCTGTGATTCAGAGATTTGTTTTTGGTGGGGGAGGGTAAACTGTTCAAGGGCTTAACCACCATCTCCTGGGACTTCTGTTAATCCTTGTAAATTCAAGTCATTGTCTCGCAGGCTAGATTTAATGCGGCTGGGTGCAACTGGGATCAGCCTCAAGTGATTGTCGGGATGCTCTGTCACTAACTTCACACAACAGATGGGTTTTCTTTCTTTGTTCCCTCCAGGACATGCTGAGCAAGACCTCTGCAATCGCCACTTCCCACCTCAGGGACTTCAAGAAGTGACGACTTGACTTGCGAGAAAGAGGTCCGTGGAACTTAGGTGGCCAGCTGACATTGGAGCCCGTGCTGATAGGAGCCAAAGTGTTCCTGGGAGGTTCCCAGCGTGCCGTTGACCTTGACTTCGGCCATCCCCCGTGTTTCCTATTCCTGTTTTTCTAGGCCTACTTAGCTATTCATGGGGAAAATATCACAGTGGGTAGGAAGTTTTTGCTCAAAAGCCAAACAAAGAGAAGAAAAACAAGAGCAAAGGGAGAAAAGGTTAAAAGAAAAAAAAATGACTGAGAAATACCAAATGCTCTTGTTAAACCAATAATTTCCCAGGGTTTCTTAACAGACGAGGAAACTTGATAGCTGCAAAAAGAGTCCAGCTGAAGAAAATACCCGGTTTCAGATGGACTTTCTGGACCCGCAATGCGTCTCCTGGCACCTGCCGGTGTCGAGGGCCCGGTAAAGACGCTGCTTGGAAGCCAGCTGGACAGGCTGCTGGACATCTGGAATCTTCTTAGAACCTCTCCTCCCGCCCGGGCTCCGGAAGTGGCTTTTTTTTTTTTTTTTTTTTTGCAGTTGCTTCTTGGTGCCTGGGCTTCTATCAGAGAGGAAGTGGAGGGTAAAGAAACGTTTGTCTTGGAACCAAAGGCTGGGTTCTTCTCACCGTTCAGGGCTCTGCTGAGATGTCGCCTCCTCAGCACACCCTGTCTGACCACCCTGGCTCTCTGCCCCTGCTCCTTCTCCAGCCGCCCTCTACTCCGTCCCCCGGCTTAATGATCTTTACGGATGTAAGGCCACTTAACATTATGGGGTTTGCTTTTGTGTCTCTCACACTAGCAGGCAGCTCCTTGGAGAAAGGAGCCGTACCTGTCTTATTCGCCAACTGGTCCCCACCCAGCCCTTGGCAGAGTGTCGGGCGCGTGGTCAGTGGTCAGTGAATGTTGGATTACATCGAATCCTTCAGTGAAACACATTAAGAAGAAATTATAAAAAGCATCACTGCATTCCAGAAGGACTGGACCCTATCTCCTGAGAGTTTCTTTATAGAAAAAGTGATTATACACATGCACGCGTGCGCACGCGCGCGCACACACACACACACACACACACACACACACACACACACACACTGTTGTGTCTTCATCAGCTTCCGAACACAAACCACAGCCTAGCCACAGGGAAACAATATCCCAAGTGACAGCCACCAAGAGCCAAATGAAGTGGAGCGAGCTCCCCAGGGGAGCTGGAGGTGCTACGGGGTGTCTGGGACGCCCTAAGGACACCGAGGTGGGGGGGGCATGCAATCAGCTGGGACACGGGGGTTCCTAGGAAAGGGGAGGGGATGGGTAACGTCTGGACGCCCCTAAATTACGATATTTTCCTTCTTGAGGCGGAATGAATGCAGCCTCAGACAGATGCCGCCCGGCAGCTGTTTGTGGCTGGGGCCCCGTGGCAGGCCAGTGACTTTGAAACGGGGGATTGGAATGGAATCTGACAAAGGGGCCACTGTCTCTGAGGGAACTTGACAGGGGCCCAGCAGAGCCCCGGCGGGCGGGAGTTTGCACAGCTGCGGCTGCGAGCAAACATGTACTTTGAGCTGACCTGGGCCCATGGCTTTGGGCATTAAACCTGACACTTTCCAGATGTAGGCGCCCTCGCTTTGGCACTGTCCACAGCATTCTGTCCTCAGGTACACACACACACACACACACACACACACACACACACACACGACAGTCCTGTCAATGCTGCATTGTGCTGGAGACCCCAGGCCTCTCCTGCAAACTCCACACCCAGATCTGAAGGTGAGTCCCCCAGGCTGAGCTGCAGATTTATGAGCTGGGTTTCAAAAAAAGTTCAAGTTCAAAGTGAGCTCAACAGCAGCTGCCACTCTGACCACCAACCTTCTTCATGCCTGGCTCCAGGTTGGGTGGTGAGGGGATGGTGGAGCATGCCTTCCAGAAGGTTCTTTTCAACCAGCGTTAGGACAAACCCTGAGAGCTCCAGGCTCAGCAGGCGTTTGGGGGTGAGGGTAACCCTACATGGCCGCTCCCTCTCAGTCCTCATCTGGGCTTGAGCACAGCCCGTGTGGCCCCTGATATATGGGCAAGGGAAGGCCACGTGTGGCCCCCAGCTGCCTGGGGAGCTCCGGGGTGTTACAAAGCCCTGCCATGGCCCCAGCCTTCTCCGGGTCCATCTGCTCTGGAAATGACTCCACTCAGCAGTCCTAGCTGGAGGGTGGGGACACAGATGTGTTAGGACAAACTGCTGACAGAGGCCAAGTGACAGGTGGGAGGGGACCCTCAGGCATTCTCCTGGGCAGGAGGTGGCTTGCTTGGTGGGGGACTCCCTAGGCATGACCCCGCCATGGGGTCTCTGAACTCAAACAGGCAGGAGCAGCCCAAGTCCGCAGAGAGCATGACCTCCCTGCTGGGCACAGATACAAGAGCGGTCACCTTCCTTTCCCCGCTCCTGGGTCACGGAAGGGTGAAATGAGGTGCTACTGGGCCGACAGCGCTGACTCACAGCGTGTTTTTCCTCCTGGGACGAACCTGAGGACACTGGGGACACTCACCGCTCAGGAGAGCTGGACCGGATGCCGGAGGCTCAGAGGCCTCAGCGCTCACACCTCGGGTGACCCCCGGACGCCGCGGGCTCCCTCCAAGTCCTTCCCAAAGCACTCGTGAAGTCCATTCCCACGGACTCTGGCTAGAGAGCAAACCGTTTCTTTTTGTCTTCATTTCTAGGGCACAGCTTTCCACATGTGAAGCGCACCCTTCTCAACTGCTGGGCTGGACGCGTGTGGACACCGGCGTGACCACCACCCAGGTCAAGACGGAGGACACGTCCATCTGTCACACGCTCCCCCCAGTCAGTAACCAGAGTCACCACCACCCTGGCTTTTATCATCACTCATGACTTTTGCCAAAAGATGGATAGAGAACAACTTAGTAAAATGTAAATGGTGGCATACAATTCATCTGGCTTCTTTCACTCAGCATATGATTCCTGAGATTCAGCCGTATTGTTGGGCGTATTAGTGGTTTGGTCTTTTTCCTTGCTGTATAGCAGGGGTGTCAAACTGGCGGCCGCATGCGGCCCTCGAGGTTATTTTTTGTGGCCCACGATGCTCTGAAATAAAATGAAAATAGAAAAAAATGTTATGAAGAAAATAGCGCTTAGGGGAGATCGAGACAACACCATACACACAATTCCCTCGTTAACCCTTTAACTACTGAAGACGAGTATACACGTGGCCCAGTGCCTTTCCTGGGGGCCTGGGGGCGTGTATAAACGTGCTGACTCAGTTCCGGCGACATTTAGAAGCAATATGTCTGCCACTCTCAGTGTCACATCGGGTAAACAGATCCCAACAGCGAAAAGGTTAAAAAGAGCACTCGGGTAAAAAAGAATAATTTTAGTTTTATAAATACATTAAATAAAATAAATGTTTAAATAAAAGCAATTATATAGTGTTTTTTTGTTTGTTTTTGTTTTTGTTTTTTTTTAGCTGAGCCATCCTGCTACCTATTGGCAGCTTAGCGGCTGCTCAGCTCGGGCTGGCCTCGAACCGCTGTTGCTCAGAGCTCAAACTCTTGAGCGAGCTCTTAACCAACTGAGCCATTCGGCCGGCCCCTAATTATATAGTGTTTTAATTATCCTATCCATATTCCTGAATCCTCACTTCAGAATATAAATTTAACAAAATTTGTAAATGTGATGTGGCCTGCGGGAATCTTGCCTGTTGTACCAAATGGCCCGTGTTTTAATTGAGTTTGACACCCCTGCTGTATAGTATTCTTTTGTACAAATGTACCATAATTTGTCCATTTGCTACAGACTGAATGTTTGTATCCCCCACCCCCCAAATTCATATGTGAAATCCTACCCCCCAGAGTGATGGTTAGGAGGCGGGGCCTTTGAGAGGTGGTGAGGTCCTGAGGGTGGGGCCCCCAGGAAGGGGATTGGCGCCTTTATGAAAGAGGCCTAGGAGATCTCCTCCGTCCCTTCTGCCTTGTGGAAAGTGAAAAGATGGCTGTGTAGGAAACAGGAAATGGACCCTCACCAGACACTAAATCTGCCTGTTCAGTATCAGGAAAGCAACAGTCCAGAGAGTGGGGGTCAGGTCCAGATTCTTCCTCACTGGGCTCCCCAGGGCCCCAGAATTTGGTGAGAGAGCATCTGAGGGTCCCTGTGTGTCACCCACCCCTCCCCCAGCAGGGCCTGGCAGTCCTGATTTAGGGCTGGCAGAGCAAGGGGCCTTGAAGTGAAGATGGGGAAATAGAGGGGTCCCCTAAACTGTGGGGACCGACAGCCTAGTCTGCATGGAGAGTTGAGGCGTCTCAGCAAATGTCAGGGGCCCCTCCCTCAAACCTCAGGGACCTCCTAGATCTGAAACCCAGTACCGCTGAGGAATGGGGAGAGAGAACCGTGGCTATTCTAATTTGAACAAATTGACCCTAAATTGGCTGAGATGATATTCTGCCAATAGATGGATTGGGGGCTTGATAGAGAAATTGAGTTACAGCAAAACAAATTGAGTTTGGGAACTGTAAGTTGTCACCTGTCTCACATAATGTAGGATTCACTGTATCCTGATGTGCTGCACAGACTTGGAGCTCAGGGGTAACGGAGGGAAGGTGATTGTCTGATGGTCAAAATGGCCCATTTCTTTGTCCCTGCCCCTGGCCCAAGCACCATGGCCCAAGCACTTGATGTATGTTACTCCATTTAAGCCTCACAGCAGCTCTCTGAGCTCAGAGCTGGTAGGACCCCACTGATCGGGAAAAACTTTAAACAAGACATGCAGCCTGGCTCGGTTGGGAAACGACAGAGCCAAAGGTCACACGAGGTTCAGAAGCGTGTGCCTGTACTATGCTCCCTCCCAGGACACTGCGGGCAGTAAGCCCCACAGACACGCTGTCCTGGGCACCGCACCCCAAGCTTCCGTCACACGTCAGCATGGCGGAGACCTCTCTGCTTCTAAAACTTCCATGTGGATCCCTTACGTTCGGGACACGCTAGGTGATAGGCCCGCTCATAGTCATCTGGTCACTGCCTTGGTCCGTTCGGGCAGCTGTAACAATACCATCGACGGAGCGGCTTAAACAACACGTTTCTTTCTCATGGTTCCGGAGGCTGGAAGTCCGAGATCAGGATGCCAGAGTAGCTGGGTTCTTGGTGGGTTCTTGGAGGCCTTCTCCCTGGTGGTTTCTAGCTGAGGGAGAGAGGGAGAGAGCTTTACTGCTTCTTATAAGGGTGCTAATCCCATCCTGGCGGCTCCACCCTCATGGCCTCATGACCTCCCAAAGGCCCGGCCTCCTAATACCATCCCACTGGGAGTTGGGGTTTCAGCCTATAAATTTTGGGGGCACACAGTCAGCCCACAGCAGTCATGATGAAAGCGGGTATCTGGATCCTTCGAGATAACCATTGAAGAGGTTCTTTATTTCATTAAGGGCAATTGACCCTTTCATCTGCACTAACCACCAGGGAAGAAGGTGTTTCACCTTCTTAGGTTCTAAGGCTTAGAACTCACCCCAGCCCTCCTGGGCTGCCCCCCATTGGCTGGGCCTGTGGAGGTAGGACCCCAGGCTGTGAAGGCCCCCGGTTTTGAGCCTGGAGCTCAGTTCACTCTGTTCTCTGGTGAGCCCTGGGCCGGGTCCCTCTCCTCCCACGGGAGACGGTGTCCTGGAGGCCCTGGGAACCACTCTCCCAGACGCCTGCTCTTCTGACCTCGGCAGGTCTGGCCTCGCATCCATCGCCCTGGCCCGCTCGCAGGTCCTGGCGATGAATTGGCCCATTGTCCTCCTCGCAGACAGAAGTCCTATCACACGCTCCACCTGTCTGGTCACCTCCGGCTCTGAATCCTCCTTTTGTGGAGCTGATGAGAAAAGAGAGATCTTTGGAGCGCTCGCGAAAGACCCTCTCTGAGCCCTGCCTGAGTGTGGGCCTGCCATCTCCTGGGAAAGGAGGAGAACACGACCGTGGCAGCCTGAACGCATCACCAAGCGTGAGCACGAGGGCCGGGCGTTGGGAAACACAGCCCCGCGGTACCACCAGGTACTCTGCAATCGGAGCTGGTGAGACGCGCTCCCGTGAGTTAATACGTACACACTTACAAGTGCACACGCTCACACATGGGGACAAACTGGCAGACGAAGGCCCTGTTGTGGGTTGAGTTGTGTCCCCCCCCAAAAAAAATTGAGGTCCTTACCCCAGGGACCTGTGAATGCGACCTTGGAAATAGGGATCAAATGAACACGAGGTCATACTGGAGTAGGGTGGGCCTCATCCTAATGACAGGCGTCCTTATAAGAAGGCCATGTGAAGACACGGACACGCAGAGGACAGGCCATGTGAAGACGGAGGCAGAGAGTGTAGACATGTGTCTACAGTCCAAGGAACACCAAGGATGGCCAGCCACCCCCAGAATTACCTGGAACCCAGCTCAGCACGTGTGGATGAGAACACACCCTTCTCTGTGTCTAGGCCGCTAGGAAACGACCGTGAAGTGTGTGGTTAGGGGACAGGCGGTCAGCGCCCCTCCCACGCTCCTGGAAGCCACCAAGCCCTCCTCACTGCTTTGGCTAAACGTGCCCACTCTCCTCCTGCACATTAATTCCACATTCTTAAAATGAAAATCATTTTGTTCTCAACCCAGCTGAGATAAACGGGAGGAGGCTTGCTGCTCTGGTGACCCTGAGGGCCCAAGTTCGTGCCCCACGGGCAGCCTTAGCCTCACTGGGCCTTCGTAGGGAAAACCATCTCAGTGCCCAGAACAGGTTTACTGCTGTCCCCAGTTTCGATCCTGCCCGTTCTCCCCAGCCATCAGGCTGTGATTCCAGCCTTGTGCCCCCGCTGAGGTGGCCGAGGGCTTGGCCCCGGGACGTCCCCCATACCCCCTTCTCCCTGCACAAAGCTCCCTTTCATTCTCCACGGCCCCCGGCCCCGGCCGGGTCTCCTGGTTTTTACATCTGAGGTGGGGATTCTTTTTTTTTTCTCCTTTGGCAGCGTGGTGCTGAAATGTTTACACTCGAGGGGTGGGGGAGAGGGGTCTGCTCTCCTCAGCGCCTGCAGATGTCCCCGGGGGAAACGAAGTGAGGGGAGATCAGAAAACGCAGCCGCCATTCAATGCTGAAGGGAAAAAGCACCAGCACATTCCAGGTCTGTGGCAAATACGTGCACACATACAGGGGCCAGAGAGGGACAGGGATGGGCTGAGAGCAAGGTTCCTGTCCCAGCTCCTCTACTTACTGGCTGACGCGAAGCCTCAGTTTTGTCATCTGTAAAATGGGGACAAGGACAGTACCTACTTCCGGGCTACCTACTGTTGATTGTTTGGCGTCCAGTTAATGATGGCGCGTGTCACCATTATCATTGTCCTTATCACGTCTGTGTGTGAGAATGGTGGGTTCTTGTGTTCTTTTATACTTATGTCCTCTACTGAATACGTGTTGCTCTTATATTGG